TTTTTTTTTGTTGTTGTTGTTCTATTTAGAACAATTGATTAGACGAGGCCCACCCCACATTAGGGAGAATAATCTGCTTTACTCAGTATACTAATTTAAATGTTGATTTCATCCCAAAATACTCAGAATAATGTATAATCACATATCCTGGTATTCCATAGCCAAGTCAAGTCAAGTTTACATAAAATTAAGCATCCCAAGTCCATCCCTTATTAATTTGGTACCTATATACATATCTTTAATATTTAATTTCCAAATAAAGATAATAACAAGGTCATAATTCTACCTAAAATTGTATACATATTCTCTTTATAAACAAAAAACATAAAATTCTTTCACAAAAAAGGAGGTAAAGTCTTTCAGTCATATTTACTCTTTTCCTTGATGTTCCATAATTTGAATACCATGATTTAACATGAATAATACTTAAATACTATGATACAAAGTATAAGTACATCTTAAATCACCTGATAAGGAAATAAGAGAGACAAAAAGAAATTCGAAATACACACCACACACACACACACACACACACTTAAAACAAATGCCTGGGAACCTCACAGCTCAGTCAAGTTGACACATAAAATTAATCATCACAACTATATTTCCTTTCATGAAGAAAATCTTCACTCATCTAAATGATCCTCAAAGCTTTTGAGGACCTCTGGTAATCATAACTACCATAAGGTCAAACCTGTAAACTTTACATTTCTACCTATATTCAGTTTGACTAAAGCTCCCATGCATACTTAAAAATTTCACCAGGTAGTCTACACTTCAGAACTGCTCAAGTATTTTCCCCAGGACAGCTTATATATTGGGAATATATAGAAAATGGGAATATATAGAAAATGAAGATTCATCTTAAAACATTGTATATACAAGGCTCAGGCCATATAGAATACATCTTTGTGCATATTTATCATAAAGTCTAATTTCTCAGAGCCAGGTGCAGTGACACACACCTGTAATCCCAGCGACTTGGGAAGCTAAGGCAGGAGGACCGTGAGTAAAACCAGCCTCAGCAGTTAGTGAGGCCCTAGAAACACGCTGCTCAAAATAAAATATAAAAAGGGCTGGGGATGTGGCTCAGTGATTAAGTGTCCTTGGATTCATTCTCTGGTACCAAGAAAAAGTCTAATTTTTCAATTGATTTACTGTGGTACCAGGGATTATACTCAGAAACTTGCACATGCTAGGCTAGCACTCTATCACTGAGCTACATCCCCAGCCTTATAATTTTTCATTATTTTAGAATAGTGTTTAACAAGGCCTTTGAGGATGCCAACTTTCCTTGCATTAAATTTTTAGCAAAAGTAATTATTGTGAAGAGCCTGAAATGCTTATCAGTATAATTCTTTTACAATTACTAGTATTTCTTTTACTATTGATAAATTAATAAAAGCATATAACCTTAAAAATGATCACAAACATTCACTGTTATGTATACTGGGCTCTGTATATTATTGAAACAATTCAAACATTCAAACATGTTTTTTATCACTTATGTTATAGGAATCTGGATCCACAGGTTCATCATTGCTTCCAGGATTTCTTACATCGCATCTACTGGCAGATGGAAGGCAGAAGAGTTTCTCCTTGTCCAACTTGTTTATCTGGAATAAATGGGAAACCAGCCTTACCACTACTACCTTTGCTTGAGGACCTCTTTATCTAATACCACCTTTGTTGAGGGACCTCATGATCCAGAATCATTGCTTGTTCTAACTTATGAAACGAATCTGAAATAAATGTCTAAACCCCAAACTCTATGAAAAGATTTTTGAATTGCATGACTTGAGAATTGGTTGATCAAAGGCAAAACTTTGACTACAGTTTGGGGCATTTTTCTAGTCATTGGTGATCTTTCATGTGTGGACAACTGTGTAGTTGTGTACAGGTTAATGTTAGAGAATATGACTGCTGACACTTTATTTTCTTTGTCATCTCATTGTCTTATGTTCTTTTCTCAGTATAGTATGTCAATAAGTGGAAACTCCATGGAGAATATGGAATTCATATAGAAGGCAAAAGGGAATTCATAATGTTGT